TCAGCCATTCAGCCAAGAAATTAAAAAAAAAAAAAATTAAAACTGTCTATTCAAGCAGAAAAGAATGTACAAGCAGGATCATTATTCCTTTGATTTAAAATGTTACTTCTCAATATCAAATAAAAATTTGGAATCCCATCTACTGGACCAATTTTCTGTTATTGCAATTCAAGAGCGCACAATTTTGTGATGGAAGTTTCTGGCACGGTTAATGGCTTAAAGGAAAAATGGATCATTTTCTTTTTTTCTTCCCAAGATTCAAAATTTTAATCATTCACAAATGAATTTCAAGTCAACATTGAGAGGAGCTTTGTATTTCACTATGAAATGTCTAAATATAAAAGTGATAATTTTAAATTTCTATTTGAGGAAATCATTTTATTCTTTATTTGAATGTTGTGAATATTCTAATAAATGATATTAAAGAAATTGTAATAATATGTAAGAGTTTGGTCAGTTTGGATGAAAGACATTCTATATAATAAACTCAGGTAGTCCTGAGGGGACAGATTTCATGAGTAGTGATTGTGAATGATTTGCAAATACTACCACTACACTTAACAGATTTTCTGTAAGCAAGGATTCTCAAATTATGTACACACACACACACACACGTCTCTATGCATGTAAGAAGAACGTTAACTTTAAAAATCTTAATCTACACTACATAATTAAACTTTTTCCTTTTGTGAAATTATAATATAATCTACTTGAGTTTATTGTATATCATCAAACTTTTACATATTAAAATTTCTTTAATATCATTATTAGAACATTCACAAAGAGCTATTAGACAATAGATATTATCTAAGAGCTATTAGACAATAGATATTATCTAAGAGCTATTAGACAATAGATATTATCTAAGAGCTATTAGACAATAGATATTATCTAAGAGCTATTAGACAATAGATATTATCTAAGAGCTATTAGACAATAGATATTATCTAAGAGCTATTAGACAATAGATATTATCTAAGAGCTATTAGACAATAGATATTATCTTGCCTTATTTGACATTAGGTTTATGTGTTTGAAAATCCTGACTTTAAATAAGATTAAAAATCAACAAATTGTTTATGTAAGAGGAAGTGTACGGTCAGTTTATATTCTTTAATTTATGAATCAGTTTCATTCTGATAAAAAATATTGATAGATAATCAATAATCAATATAGATAATCCATATTAATATTGACATTAAAATTCATGCTGATTACATAGGTTTCTATATCTTACAAAGGAAGATAAAAGAAAAATCAAATGCTCCAGCAGTCTATGCCACATAAGCTTCAAATATAGTTATTAAATTGATTTGCAACATAAAACAATATTAAGTGTGGCAACTTAAACAAGTCTTGGCTGTGATGGTTTATATAAAAATGAGAGCTGTGTCTTTCCAATTAATATATTCTAAGGCAATTCAGAGGATTACTAATATCTCAAAGGCGTTGTTGGCCCAATGGTTCACAGCATAAAAAAATGGAATTAATAAACCAAGTTTAAACTCAAGACAGTTTGCATACACTTTGCACTAATGCCTTTGTGGAAGACATGAAATCACTTCTCCTCCACACTTCTATTTAGAAATCTCTATTTTGTAACTTGGCCATTGGAATAACAATCCAGTGCTATAAATGTTCATTAGCTACTGAAAATGTGGCCACATCATTTGGCAGGATTGAAATCCTGTGCTGCAAGGAGTGTGTAGGACAAAAAAAAAAACTAAAAAAAAAACCCCCAAAAAACCCCAGGCAATTGTGAAATTGTAGACAAAAAGAGCCATAAATCTGAATTTTCAAACTATCAGCACCAACCATACCACCTGTGGACACTTAACAAGACCTATCTGATATACCTGTAACCGAAGCCACAGATCAGCTGTGATTTGTTGATGACCAAGCATCACCATTTTCATACATTCATAACAATTGCCATGCAAATTTAGCAGTGATATTGAGATATTGCCTTCTTCAACCAATTCAAGAGAACACTACACACACACACTCAAGTCAAGGTCTTTTTTTTAAAGTTGGTCTTGTTCTCTTCTACAGAAACAAAGTATGAAAGTATCTCCAAAAATTTGTCATTAAACAATCAGTATATAAATATATGAAGATGAATCAGGATTAGACAGATACTATCACATGGAAAAATAAATGCTAACAATGATTAAAAGACTGATTTATTTGTTTAACAGAATATCAACTCCTTATGGGTCATTTAATGCCAAAATTTAATTTTCTTCAGAGCTTTCAAGTAATAAAAATATGATACATTTTATTACACTTTCACAATTGAATACATGGTAGATGATACTCAGCTTTTTTTGCTTATACATGTTTGTGTGGACATGATTACTAGAGGTGGTGATGTGTGTGTTTTATGTTGTAGTTTTGTTGAAGTTATATTTTGGAATACAGTTTGCTTTAAGAAATTGTAGGATATTATATGAATTAATGTTATTCTTTCATGTTGGTTGTTTGGTTGGTCGGTTGATTTTGTTTAGCAGCATATCAACCTTAGTTATAGTTATTTAATACTGAAATCTAAATATTTTGAACACAATTGTATGCTTTTAACTATAGATAAATAGATAGTGTTGGTATTTTTTTTATATAAAAATTGTGTTGGTATTTTTTTATATAAAAATTGTATTGCTTGTATTTTTAGTATAAAAATGTATTTTTAAACTGTCATAGGTTTTTTTTGGGGGGGGGAGTACCCATACCTGGGACCCTAATAGGTGCTACCACCCCAGGATCAGGGTGACTGAGAAGAACAGCAATTAAGAGGCAGTTCTGTGCTCCTCAAAACCTCCAATCTACTGATCAGAGGCCTGATGTATTTATCATCATACACAGGACTATTGATTAAAAGACAATGTTAGGGCATTTTATAACTGATACAAAAGATAAGGGAGACCCTAGATGATAGGATTGATACAATGACTTTGAAAGCAATAAAGCATTCACTAATTGCATTTAACTTGCTCTCCATATAAAATATCATAATTGTCATTTACAGAGTATTTTGCTAATATCTTGGTATGATGGTGGTTGCAACTAACTAACGTTGGAGAGGTGAGAGAGAAAAAGAGAAATGTCCTAGTTATTCTTCTGAAGCTAAATTCACAGACACTGTGATATTGGCTAAATTTAACCAATAATGACTTGTGTGTGTGTTTAATATGCACTTGGCACCATTGCTATGGCATGTTGGCACCACCATTTATAGACAGACAAGAGCTTGTCCTGAAAATCTCCAAATATGTCTAGGAGGAGCTACAATTCACTGCCAAATCTGTATGAAAAGAACAAGGCATTTTTGTAGTAATGCATTTAAAGTCTTTTCACTAAACTAAAGACTCCTTGTAAATAGTTTAAATGTAAAACTAATTTTAGAAAAAGGACACATACAAATATAAACATTAAGAATTAAAATCAGGAAAATATTTTATTTTTGCTGGAAAGACAAACAAATAACTAATTAACTTTGTACAACTGCAGTCAAAAGAGTTTAAGTAAAAACATTTTAAAAAAAGAATACATTTCCACTTGTCCATTGTGGCAAAATCAATTAGTATTTATCATTATCTTCTACAGAATATATTTACAAAAAAGAAAAAAAAAACCTTCGTACATATACATGCACACACACATACTTACCTGTGCACTTACCAGAGCACGAGTGAACCAGATTAATGTATAATTGGTAAATAACTATACATGTGTCATATTTTACATGCTTCTTGTGTAGAGCAATAAGTCTATAGCCAAATGTTGAAAAAAGAATTTTGCACAAAAATTACAGCCCTAATCTATTTCATCTTTTCTAAGACGATGCCCTGTGCATATACAAGCACAGATGTGAAGAGACAGGTACTAATCATTTAAGCATTCCATACCAGACCCCAGATGAACCTACAAACAAAAAACAATGGTTCTGATTTTACACCTGAGGCCAGTGTACTAATAAATTGATGGTGTGTGTGTCGGGGGGGATGATATACGTAGTCATAGTTGGAATAAGAATGATCTTGAAGAAAAAAAATTTGCTTTTTTAAAATCACCCTCCTCTATAAAAGCACATGTTACTGTCAAAGTCTTTGTGCTTAGAGTAAATGTTCTTTACTTGTTGGCAAAAGAAATCTAAATTTTCATAAAGAACTTTTTAGATAAAAGACCTGGATTTTAAGAAGTCTGCCAAAAACAAACAAATTATTGAATTTTAAAAATGTTTCTGTACTTTTTAAAAAATAAATAATTCTTTATTAAATAATATACCATTTTTTTAAAATAGCACATAAAAAGAATGTTCAACAATATTAGTAAACGAAGACAATACAAGGCAAACAATGCTCAAACAACAAATTCTGGAGAGAGACTGAAGACTTGTGAAATAGGAAGAAGCTACAACAGAATCTGTTAACCCATTGCTTTGTTTGCATGGATTCAATGCTTGGCTAGCAGCAAATTTAGGTTCTGTACTTGTATGGAATATTTTTTCAAACATTCTCAATCCAGAGATACAAATGCAAAAGTCATCAATATGAAGGACTAACTGTAAGTGAATGAAAGATATGCACATCAGATGACATGCAAATTGACATATGAGTTATCAGCTAAAAAAAAAAAAAAATAAATAAATAAAAAAAATAAATAAAAAAAAATAAATGGAATTAGTAAAGTTTGTATTTCACTTGAAACTAGACATATAGCTTCTGCACTTATATCATAGGAAAAGAATGGATCTAATTCTCCCTGAACTCATTAATTTCTCATCTTGAATACGATGATGGTAGAGAAAAAAAGGGTAAATTCCTAAATAGATCAGCAAAAACCTTTCTCCAAGCAAGATCAATAAAATACTTTATCTATCTATTAACAAATATATAAAAATTATTTTATTTCCCAAATGATTTTAGTTAGTTGAAATATTTAAAACATTTTCAACAGAATCATGAAACAAATATTTCTCAGAAGATAATACAGGATGGGACCTAAGAGGTAAGAGCGAGTGAAGACAATACGGGACGGGACCTGAAAGGTAGGAGTGAGTGAAGACAATACGGGACGGGACCAGAGGGGTAGGAGCGAGTGAAGACAATACGGGACGGGACCAGAGGGGTAGGAGCGAGTGAAGACAATACGGGACGGGACCAGAGGGGTAGGAGCGAGTGAAGACAATATGGGGACGGGACCTGAGGGGTAGGAGCGAGTGAAGACAATACGGGACGTGACCAGAGGGGTAGGAGCGAGGAAGACAATACGGGACTAAACCAGAGGGGTAGGAGCGAGTGAAGACAATACGGACGGGACCAGAGGGGTAGGAGCAGTGAAGACAATACGGACGGGACCAGAGGGGTAGGGAGCGAGTGAAGACAATACGGGACGGGACCAGAGGGGTAGGAGCGAGTGAAGACAACACGGGACGGGACCAGAGGGGTAGGGAGCGAGGAAGACAATACGGACGGGACCAGAGGGGTAGGAGCGAGTGAAGACAATACAGGACGGGACCAGAGGGGTAGGGAGCGAAAGTGAAGACAATACGGGACGGACCTGAGAGGTAGGAGCGCAGTGAAGACAATACGGGACGGGACCAGGGGGTAGGGAGCGAAGTGAAGACAATACGGGACGGGACCAGAGGGGTAGGAGCGAGTGAAGACAATACGGGACGGGACCTGAGAGGTAGGAGCGAGTGAAGACAATACGGGACGGGACCAGAGGGGTAGGAGCGAGTGAAGACAATACAGGACGGGACCAGAGGGGTAGGAGCGAGTGAAGACAATACTGGACGGGACCAGAGGGGTAGGAGCGAGTGAAGACAATACGGGACGGGACCAGAGGGGTAGGAGCGAGTGAAGACAATACGGGACGGGACCTGAGGGGTAGGAGCGAGTGAAAACAATATGAAATGAGACTAGAGAGGTAGGAGCGAGATAAGACTATACGGGATGGGAGCAGAGAGATAGGAGTTAGTGAAGACAATACGGGACGGGATGGCAGCAGAGAGGTAGAAATGAGTGAAGGCAATATGGGACAAGAACAAAGAAGTAAAAAGAATACAGGACATAATCAGAAAAGAATAGAGGAATGGTAGAAAGGTAAGAATGAGTAAAAAGAAAAACCAAGGCAGGACCAGCATATAAGTTAACTTGATGGTTGAGCAGCTGCTAAAAAAGAGAAGAAAAGCCTTGATGTGTCAAAGTTTCTAAAGAACCAATTCCTCCAAGATTTGCTATTCTTAGAACTTTGCCAGCAGCAACTCAAAAGAGCAAAAATAAATAAATAAATCATAATAATATAAATAATGAATAACTAAATAAATAAATCAAATAATAAAGAAAAAAAAGAGAAAAAGAAAAATGTAAAGACGTTCTATGATATCAGTTGAATTATTTTTTTTTGTTTTTAGTTTTTACAAGTATGTAGATGTAGGGGGTGGTTACAAATATACATTGCTCCCAAAAATCAGATTTGCTATTCTGTGTGAGAAGTTTCAGGTCTACACACGCATACACACATGTGCTTGTTTTCGGGAAGTTTTCTTTCTCCTTGATAGATAGAGGGTAGGTAAGCAGCAAAGTGCACAAGAGGTTTCGGTAGTGGCTGGATTTTATTACTACATATACATATATATATATATATATATATATATATATATATATAGAGAGAGAGAGAGAGCGCGAGCGAGTGAGAGCTACATTTATACAAGTTTGGTTAAAGACCAATGAAACTTATTTGTAAAGGATTTTCTTTTTCTGTTTTGGATTATTTTCCTGCTTTCCAGAAAATACTCAGATATTAATATTTAAATATGTACCAGAAACCAGAAAAATGATCCAAAATAAAAAAAAAAAGTTTTATAGGTCTTTAACCAAACTTGTGCAAGTTTAGAATGAATCAAACCTAACCCCGCCAACAGTTTAAATATATTAAAAGATTTTCTTGTTTAATTAAAAGCAATAAAGTAACGTTTCAGAACAAATTAAAACAAGCCATTGCAAATTAAATCCAACATCATAGAAAGGGGTATCAGTTACAGAAGGCAAGACTTGCTAATTGTGTATCATTATGCTACAGTGACCAATGTCAAGATTGACAATAGGTGTAACAGCTTGTTACAATTATTGTTATGGGAGAGCGGTTTCCTCAAGTTCTTACACATGCACTGTCTTTATCAAGTGTGCATTATGTAAGCCATGTTTTGTCAAGATATCTAGTAATGCCTTTTCCAAGTGCATTAGTGTGAACAGGATCATTAGCAGAACTTGGATGAGATTTCATTTGGCATGCCAATAACCATGACATCACCTTCTCATATGTCCATCCTTATATTACAAATTTTATTTGTGATCAGAGTAGAGTATCTGTTTTCTATTTCAATGGAAAGGTGTTGGCACAACTTTAAACTTTGCAATTAAAATGTTAAATAATCAAAAGTACCTAAGCTGATTAGGAGTCACATTGAAATCATGGTGGAAATTTTGTGCTACATCTCATTACAACTAAAACTACAATCATGAAAGGAACTCTATAGCAGTGCTTCTTGAAATATCTGATGTGATGGACCAACAGTTTTTTTTTTTTCAGTGTGCAAGGGATCTGCGAGTGAAGCTTTGCAGTATAGCTGAGAGATTCAGGGGTGCTGTAACCACCAATCCCCCCCACCTTGTTTTTTTAGATATTCAGCTAGATTATAAATGTAAAAAATTAAATGCTAAAATTTTAGATTAATTTTAAATTAAAATTTTTTTAACCCAAATCTACATGGTTACTCCTTTTTTCAACAGGTGAATTTTTTAAAGCTAAAAATAGAAATATATGTCCATGAAAATGGCCTTTTGGTATTCCTAGGCTTGCCCCCCACCACACACACACAGTCCCATGCCATATCATCATAATAATGTTGTCAAACATATTTCAATTCACTGTTTTGCTGTTCATTATATAGCGTTCGTTAGCAATGACATGAGTAAGTAATTGAAAAATATAACTATAATAAATATAAAATTATAATGAAAATGCTTAAAAAAAAACAAAAACAGTCAGATATCCCCACAGTCTCCCATGGTGTGGAATGTGACTACTGTTTCTTTGTTTGCTGGAATCTCTGTGTACCGGCAGGCGATGGCTCACATACCAGTGCACATACCACAATTTGAGCAGCACTACTCTAGCACATTTTTACAATTGAGAACTTCAAAAATATAGAAAAAAAAGTACATTATTTATAATTTTAATCAATGGTTTAACTCATTCAGATTAACAATAATGACAAATAAAATAGAATATTTACATTATTTACATCTTTATTGTTATTTCAGCCATTGTGTCCTTTGGCTTTCATCAGATGCTTATTGAGCCAAATATCATTCAAACAATTTTGAACTGAACCCTTTATCTATCCACTGCCCATGTTCCAGTAGGATATCTGGTCTTATTCATAGGTCTAGAGTGATCTAGTTCTTATTTAGTATGGCCCAGTTATTGCTTGGCTGTTTCCACCAAGACTGTTTGCACTGCCAAGCCCAAGGATTGAATTCAAAATTAAAATTAAAAAAATAAATGAAAATATTAAAAATAAATAAAAAAAAAAAAAAAAAAAAAAAAAAAAAAAAATTAAATTTAAAAATAAATAAAAAGATGCTGAATAAACTATTACATCTGTCTATATTTCTGAGATGAGGTATTATGTATATTATTTACATTATTCGGACTATTGTCCTCATCTTTGTCACCATATTTATTACAACGTTTCGGCCGTTGTACACTCCGGCCTCATGGACACATGACACAGTGGATAAAGGCATTGGTTAGATCCAGTGACAGGACCCAAAGAGTGTGATTCAATACTTGGTTAAGGCAGTGGAGAACTTTGAGAGGGAAATTAACAGGAGATAACTGATAACTGACATCCATTAAACATGGAACTAGAACGGTCTACCCCAGTGAATGAAATAAAGGGTTAAGTTCGACATTCCAACCACCTGAAGAAGGCTGAAGTGTACAATGGCCAAAACGTTGTAATAAATATGGCGACAAAGATGAGGACAATAGTCTGAATAATGTAAATAATGTAAACTATTACATATATGAGTTAAGTTTCCTATAGAGAAAAGATAAAGTGTTGATGATATCAAAAATAATGGAAGCCAGTGTTTACTACTTTTAGGGAGAGGGAATGAAAAAGAGAAAGAGTAAAATACTTTTAAAGAGAAGGAGATATTTAAGTCAATAAGTTTTCCTTAATTGATATATGTTTCATGTTGATATTTGCAATAGATGTTAAGATATAAGTAATTACTGTTTGTAATCAGTTATTTTTAAAGAATATTTTTAATTATTTTCCTTGGGTTTTTCATTGATCATAAAGAAAAATAGATCCAGATGAATAACAACAAAGTCATTATCTCCCTCTTCTGAGACGTTTTAAATAATAACACTAATTTTTACTGACAACAATCATAAATCCACAAACCTATTTATTTCTTCCAGAAATATACACAGAAACAATTTGAAATGTTTTCAATTGTTTTATAGTTATGAAAAATTTCATTCATTTGAGAATAAAGGAATTTTTTTAAAATCACTAATTCAAGAACATTTTTTAAAAATTTCACACATAGCTTAAATAAGGAATGTCTAAAGAGGTTGAAGGGAAACGAATATAAAAAAACCTGAAATGAATGTTAAGAAAATAGGATGGGCAGAAAAGTTTAATAATAGGCGTGAGTAATCCCATCAGTTTTTAAACTAGCTTGAAGGTATTTGCAGACAACTCATAAAACAAACATGCCTTCTTTAAAATTTTAACAGCATTAACTCTTCATGAAGCCATACAAGACACACATAATCAGAAGAGGCAAACATTTTAATTTAAATAACAAAAGCAGAGAATGTTAATAGAAGTCTCATCCAAGAATTTTTCTATTTAAAAAAAGGAAGAGAGAATCTATCCAAAAAAGAGATTCTTTTTTAAACCTCTAAGTTTCATTGAAAATGTCACATGGAAATCTGTGTGTGGAAGATTAAGGAAGTGAAAATTTGGCCTTGTCAGTATCCTTTTCTCTGTCTATAAAAGATAAAGAAAAAGAAGGCAAAAGAATCCAATTATTTTTATATTTCTGAAATTGTTGAGGTATTTTACAAAAATTGTTTTCCTCTCTCTTTTTTAATGCACTTCTTATGAAAATAATTTTTATATGACAGGGAATATACTTGGTAAAGGAAGAATTTCTTACTTTGACTCACACTTTTACATCTGACTGCTACTCAGACTATCATACAGACTGCCTACTTGATATGCTTTCCTTTATTTATACTTGGCATGCAGACCTAGTAGCAGACACTAAATGTGCTCAAATACTTGAAAGAAAAATGCTCAGCTCAATTTCAACATGTTACTTGAAAGAAATAAAATTTCTAATATTTTAATAATTACAGATGCTTAAAAACTTTGCAGATTAATAAGTGCATATTTGTTTTAAATGTTGTGTAAATTTCATCTTTCTCCAGAAATTATAAGTTGAATAAATTTTATTTAAATTTGGTGTCCACTCAGTAGGAATATGATTGTTTTATTAATAAATTTCAATGAAAAGGTTTTTAATATTTCTGAAATAGATTAATAAAATATGTGTCTGCTCTAATTAAAATCTAATTTATTTGCTTTACCAAATATTAATTTAGATTTTTGAAAATTTTCATCCCAAACAATACACCTACAAAAGAATAAATAATGGCAAACTATGTACAATGCTAAAGCAAAATTGAAATCAAACCAGAATTCAAAAAAGAAAACTGAATTTTGGAATTTTTAAAATATTAAATAAAAACACTTTATTTTTTTTTTAACAAACTTCCTATTTTATTGAGTGTAATGGATTTTGGGAAGAAGCTGCCCAAAAAAAAGAAAAGCTTATTAAAATTTAAAAAAAAAAAAGAAAAAAAAAATCTTTTTAAAATTATATCAGAAAACGGGAAAAGAAGGAAGCATATGGTTATCTTCTTTGTTATAAATAATGTTCACATCTCCTCTTTTATAAAACCTAACAATTGTTAAATGCACCCAATTGCCATACATCTAGAGCCCACTGGGCCAGTTTTTTGCTTTTTATTTACAGAGTTTAACTTTTAAACAGTAAAAAGGGTAAGTAGCTGAAAAATATAT